TTGTAGGTGTAATGAGTGATATGGCATTTTCTTCCATAGGTTGAATTTGTTTATCTGAGTTTTGAGGTGCTCTATCTATTTCGTTTTGTCTGCTTTGCTTACTTTGTGCAAAATTATCATTGTGTTCGAAGTGAATTGGCACAGCATCCCGTTTTAATCTTTTTTTCATGCTTGTCGCAAATGATTTTTCATTAAAATGATCCTCACATATTCCCGCACATCTAATGGACTGAGGCGACCAGTTTTCAAAATTAGTGTTTCCTACAATAGAAATGGAAAAAAAACGTTTATATGCTTACGCGCGTATATAAATTGAGCCCCATAAAATTATTAGTAGTATTTCTTACATTTTTAAATTATTATCATTAGGCTAGAAGAGTGAGTAAAAGATGTATTCAATAAAATGAAGATACAATAAAACTTGAAACAATTCAATTTCGGAGAAAACATTAAGTTGACCACTCTGTGTAATTACAACTCAGCCAATAATAATCAGTGGATATTAATGAAACGTGGAAATAATTCAACACAATTACTGAAATATAAAATATATTAACAACGTAAGTGTTTTCTTGACCATATCTGGCATTTTTAATAATACAGAAAATTTATTGCGAAAAATATTACCTCAGCCAGGGTTTGAACCTGGACCTCCCTACACTCTAGGCGGGCGTCTCACCAATTCGACCACTGAGACATGTGGTAATATTTGTCGTAATAACAGTATAAAGATGTCTTTGCGTCTATTTTTCAACTTCAAACTGCGCGTCGATTAGGGATGTCGGCCGTACACAGAACTGTCGATACACGCATTTTTAAACATTCCTATCCCCTTCCCCCCATTTCCCAATTACGTAGGAACACCATGTTTGAGGTCAATGGTGTATAAGAGGTCAATGGTCTCGACAGTTCTGTGTACGGTCGACAACCCTTATCGGCGCGCAGTTTAAAGTCGAAAAATAGACGCGAAGACATCTTTATACTGTTATTTGCGATAAATATTACCACATGCCTCAGTGGTCGAATTTAAGACTATATGCGGAACGTTACCAAAATCGCATGCATCCTGATTGAAAAACTGTCGAACGATTAGATTATTGAATTCGGAATAATGGTTGTTTGATGCCGAAACTCGTCGACGTTGGTCGTAATCGTTGGATAAAAACGGTCGAAATGGAAGAAATGATTTTAGAGATGGTTGAAGAGGATCCTACAACTAGCACACGTGCAATCGGTCGCGCATTAAGTGTTCATAGCAAAACAGTTCTTAGAGTATTGAATAGTGAGTTGTTGTATCCGTTTCATTGTAGACCGGTGTAAGAATGAAAGAGATTACCGTGCTAGAGTGAATTTCTGACATTGGCTTCTACATAATAATGAAGCTGACGATAATTTTCTGGCAAATATTATGTGGGCCGACGAATCTTTATTTACACGTACGGGTATATTTAACTGTCATATTGAACACTATTATGACGTTATTAACCCACACGTGACTCGGACGCATAGCTTCCAACACAGATGGAAGCTAAACTTCTGGGCAGGCATTTTGGGTGATATCAGTCCCACTCTTCTCCCAGAATACATTGTAAAAATATTAAAAACCTCCCGATCCATTTGTAACCTGTATCGTTATGTTCTAAAGATATTTATTTTATAGGGACGAAATTACGCGAATTTCTTCGAGTCCGTTGCATCGATGCATTCTGATTTTGCACTCTCGCTATGGTCAACTTCCGTCTCTATCTAAAGAACATATTGCAATTTTCACCGTTCCTTCTAGCTAATTGTGTCTGGACGTAGAAGAAAAAAAGCTCAGAAGTTTAGCATGTATCGATGGAACAATGTTACAAGTTAAAAAATTGACAAATTATACTTTAGCTGTATATCGAGATAACGATTAAGAGGATAATATAATCATGTGGTATATCTTAAATTGTCTTAAAACACAGTCGTTATAAGAGCGAACGGGACAGTAATAGGAGCGAGTGAGATGAGAACAACAGCAAGCGAAGAAGGCTCGAGGATCGCATCGAGTCTTCCTTGCGGTTCGCATGCGTTTTCTCATTTCGCTCGCTCCTATTACTGTCTTGCTCGCTCTTATTGCCATCTCGTTTGCTCTTATACCTTCTCGCTCGCTCCCGTTACGAAAAATCAATAACACTCTCCTGTTACTGACATTTCATGCATGCAGCACGGAATACAACCAAAATTGGGCACTGCGCATTACTGTGAGTCCCCTTGCCTCTCACTATCTCGGGGTGCTTGATTACTGCGAGTCACCTTGCCTCTCACTATCTCGGGGTGCTTGATTACTGTGAGTCCCCTTGCCTCTCACTATCTCGGGGTGCTT